AGTGCGGGGCGCGGCGGGGGGGCGGGGGGGGGGGGGGGGGGGGGGGAGGGAGAAGAGAGGGCAGCAGAGCCCAAGCACACCCCAAGGGGGGCGGGCAGAGCCTGAGCCGGGTTCTCCGCAGGTGGCAGTTTTAAAACGCTGAGGTCCGGGAGCAGCTCCTGTCATCCCCCCTCCCAACAGCAGCAGCCGCTGTAAAAGCTGTCACCTGTACACTTGTAGGAGGCGGCGGCTGTGCAGCAGCAAAGGCCCCATGGGACAGAGGCCATCCTGCAGGCTGCGGGGAGGAGGGAGCAGCCACAGCTGCAGCTGTCTACAGGCTCTGCAGGGGACGGGGGAGCAGAATTTTTTCTGTTTTCTCCACAGCACACCTCTGCCTGTGCCACGAAACAGTTTAAGAAATGCTGCTCTAGCATCTTCCAGTGCTTTTAAATGCCAATCTATTTAGACCAGGGCAGGGCAATAATTTTTGACAGGGACTACTCCAAGATTTTGGAAAGTGATGAAGGGCTGCACTCTTTCATTATATTTATGAAGGAGGTGTGGTGGCCTGGAATGGAGGTTGGGTGCAGAAGGGAGCTTTAGGGTAAAGGGATTGCAGTATAGGAGGGTGTGGGGTATCTGGGAGAGGGCTAGGGTGAAGATGGAAGGTGTGACCTGGAGTAGGGGACAAAGGCACAGGAGGGGGTGCAGAGTCAGGGGGTATAGATACAGGAGACGAGGTACAGAGGGTTTGGGTTACATGGGAGAGGGGTGCAGGAGTGGGGCAGAGGGTTAGGGGGAGGGAGGGGCTGGGGTGCTAGAGGTAGGCTCTGGCCAGGAGGCACTTACTTGGACAGCTCCCAGGCAGCAGCCCAGAATGTTCCTCAGCCAGATTTCCTGCATGTCCCACACCTGCATGTGCTCAGGACAGCTGGCTATGGGGGCCATGTGTACTACTCTAAATGCTGTAAGCTCAGGGGGAGGGATTATTCGCACACTACCTATCCTGCAAACAGGCAGCTACCATTGGCCAGAAACTGGCCAATGGGAACTGTGAGTTTGTGCTGGAGCAGGGGCAATGCCCAAAGCCTCTCTCCCCGGGCTTACAGTGTTCAGAGCAGCACACATGAACCCTGCAAGTTGGCTGCTCTGAGTGCCTGCTTGGCCATGGGCCAGATGTGGCAGCTTGGTGGGACAAACACAAATGCAGGCATTGTCTTGTTTTTCATTCTGCCTTACACAGTGCTGAGAACACTTCTGGAATTTAATAATTACATTTCATTTCAGTATACTGAACAACATTTAAATATTCTTATAAGCATTTAACAGCATTTGTTTCTATCTATTTCAATGACTGGTGAAGATCTTTACTTACCCTATGTCTTTCTTTAATTTTCTTCCTGTATGCCTCTTTGTCAAATTTGTCCTCTTCTTGCAATCTTTCCTTTGCTTTATCTAGGTTGATGCCACCAGAATCATCTTCCTTTTCTACTTGGTCCACAGTGGATTTTTGTGCTGGCGGCCACTGCTGAACAAACTGGATTATACAAGACAATAAAATGGTTAGTCCTTTTCCTGCGCCCAATGCTAAAATGCTTTCTATGACTAACTGATAAGTAGCCACACAATTATTTTTTCTAGACTAAAAAAAAAAAAAAGATGTTTTCAAAGGATTATATATTAAGAAGATAAGAATGGTAATACTGGGTGAGACCATTGGTCCATGGAGCCCAGTATTCTGTCTTTCAGCAGAAGTCAGTGCCAGGTGCTTTGGAGGGAATAAACATAGCAGGGAAATTACTGAGTGATCCTTCCCATCATCCACCCGACCTTCTGGAAGTCTGAGGCTTAGGTTGCATCCCTAACCATCTTGGTTAATAGCCACTGATGAGCCACCAATTTAACTACCTCTGGGTATGTCTACACTACCCCGGTAGTTCGAACTAGCGGGGGTAATGTAGTCATCCGCACTTGCAAATGAAGCCCGGGATTTGAATTTCCCGGGCTTCATTTGCATGAAGCCAGCTGGCGCCATTTTTAAATGCCAGCTAGTTCGAATCCCGTGCCATGCAGCTACACGCAGCACGGAGTAGCTAGTTCGGATTAGGCTTCTAATCCGAACTAGCTGTACGCCTCGTGGAACAAGGCCTAATCCGAACTAGCTACTCTGTGCCGCGTGTAGCCGCGCGGCACGGGGTTTGAACTAGCCGGCATTTAAAAATGGCGCCGGCCAGCTTCATGCAAATGAAGCCCGGGAAATTCAAATCCCGGGCTTCATTTGCAAGTGCGGATGACTACATTACCCCCACTAGTTCGAACTAGCGGGGTAGTGTAGACATACCCTCTCTTTTTAATCCAGTTAACTTTGGAGCTTCACAATATTCCCTGGCAATGAGTTGCACAGATTGACAGCGCATTGTTTGATGCAATACTTAAATATATTTGTTTTAAATATATTATCTATTAATTTCTTATTTTTGGGATCTCTTGTTCTTGTGTTACATGATGAAGTAAATAACACTGTATTTATACACAACAAACAAGAACAGGTATTTTAAAATTTTATAGTATTTACACATTAATTAAAAATGAATCGTTCTTGAAAATAAATTGTCCATTCAACCATATTTTTAATGTTTTCCCTTGAAATCTATTTGGACATCTGCTTTTCACTCTTTGCCTAGTAAGACAAATATGTAGACATTTTTAGTCATTTTGTTAGAATTTTTTTTCAAGAAAATAGTTCAGATGGCTAATATAACAAATGGAAATTACATCTACAACAATTTTAAGAAATGATATTTTTCATGTTTCCCAGGCTTCTCTTCAAAAAGGACCTCAAACTCTTTACTCTGCAAGTTCTCAATCCCTCATTTATCTGCTTTTCCCCAGAGCATCCTCATGTATGGGTATTAAACTGACATTCAAATTTACTATTAGGGCTGAATACACAGTAATGGCTTGAATGCAGCTCTCTCCTCTTTGGAACAATTTGCATGGGATCTGAAAACTAAATCTAATTCTCCACATGCAGCGTCTTCCGTTGGTCTCCCTCTGTGAAAGATGCAGGGAGGCTCAACCCAGTGGCATCTCCTCATTGTGAGAAAAGAGGTTAAAGTTCTTTGGCCAAGAGAAATGTCCTGCAACTTCCTTCACTTTAATGTGAAACCATCAGGTGTTCCAATATTAATTGGGACAAAGGTAAGGAACAGATCCAGGTGAAGTAAAAAAACAGTTACCTACCTTTCATAACTATTGCCCTTCAAGATTTGTTGCTCATTGCCATTCCATTCTAGGTGCACACATGCCTATATGCATAGTTGTTGGAGATTTTTGCGCCTTAGAGATATCTGCAGGGTCAGCTGTGGCACCCTCTGGGGGGCCGCTATCAAGCATTGGTATATTATATGCCATTACCTTCACGCCCTCTCAGTTCCTTCTTGATGGCAACTTAGAGGGGCAGGAGGATGTATAATGGAATGGACAGGAAAAGCAGTTATGAAAGGGGTGTGATCTTTTCCCTTCTTTTAGTGTTTGCTCTCGTCAATGTCATTCTAGTGACTCACAAGCAATATTCCTGGGGGTGGGGCTTGGAGTTCACGGTCATCAGGCTTGCAACACAACTCTACCAAAGTCAGCATCATCTCGGGCTCACTAGGTAAGCGTGTTGTGAGATGTGAACATATGAATGGATGATCTGGTAGTTACTCTGCAAATATCATGAATAGGCACTTGGGCCAGAAAGGCCAATGAAGCAGCTTGCACCCTAGTAAAGTGGCTGATTACAAGTGCCAGAGGAGGCAGGTTTGTCTCACCATAGCAAACCCAGATGCAGGTGGTGATCCACAATAAAATTCTCTGGGTGGACACCAGATGACTTTTCATGTCTACCATGGCGATAAACCAATGCTTCAATTTACAGAATGTCTTGGTCCTTTTGGTGTAAAAGGCTAGCACTCTCCCGATGTCCAGCGTGTGATATCTATGATCCTCCTCAGACTTATGAGACTTTGGGAGGAAGACCGGCAAGAATATGTCCTGGAATCTCGGCAATATTCTGCACCCAAACCTGGTAGCGTGCTGGGCCTTGAAGAAGGGTATTAGGCTAAACAGGCCTTGCTGCAGTTGATCCTAGACTACTTACTACATCTTAGGCTCCAGATCTTGTCCCTTTCATCAGTTAATGTCCACTTGGCTGCAATATCAGCTTTCCCCACTCCACGCAAGGGCAGGCCAGTCTGTGTTCACAACATAACAGTCCAGTTGTGAAGGGTCCGAAGTGACTGTTCCCAAGTCTGGGACCCCTAGCACAGCTCACAGGTGCCCTATTCAAGCCATTATTAACTGACTTACTAAAAAACTAACATCCAGATTTTAAGACAGCTGCATGTAACTGCATCTTCAAAAATGCATACCCAATTAGGTGTATATATGAATTGACCAGTTGGATGCACAACTGACCACTTATATACGTAATTGCAGCCAATTTACACATGAAATGATGGCAACTGCATGCACAAATGTCTGGAAATTAACACTTGTATCTTTAAAGACATGTTTTTCCAGTAGTTTTCCCCTGTGAGACTTCCTTAAGAGTTATAAGACCAGTATTTCTATTTCATATTCTGAACACAATGCAGCTGCAGTCATGATCATCCTTCACATAAATTCATGAACAAGTCTTAATTCATTGTCCTAATTATACAAACTGACAAGCCAGCATCTATGACTCAGAATGCAAGAAGATATATTTTAAAGCACTTGCTAAAAAAAATTAAAGCAAAGAATTTCTATCAGCTACTACACACAGTATCTTCCACCCCCTTAATATTCACTTTTTGTTGGAAAACAGCATGAAAAAATAGCAGTATGTTACATTATTAAAAAAGGCATTTAGATGTCAGCTTAATTAGAACAATTTTCCCTTTGAAGAACCAATACAAATACACACAGTTTATCTTTAGAAAAATGTATATGTGGATGGAATCACATGCTCTTTTGGTTCACTACAGTATCATGGAAATCCAAGTGAATGCACTAAGCGGAAGTAACTACTGGTGTAACTCTAGTAATCAGGGTTTTTGTCCATTACAAACTATATCCATCTAAAGGGCCTAGTTTAAATGTATTCTTGAAGTATATACTTCAAAAATTGCTGGAGGCAATTTTTCCATTTCTGAAATTAGTTATAGTTTTGAACAGACCGCTTCTATTAGTGAGGCCATCCTTAAAAGCTTCCAAATTTTGATAACTAAGTAACATTACCACAGCATTCCCAGTGTTCAGTAAATATTAGAAATGTTAGTCACTCACAAAGGCAACTGAAAAGTTTTAAAAGTGATCACTGTAGTCTCATTTGCATTCCCATTAACTGATGCTCTAATGCAAAAGCTACTTTTTATATCAACACTGAAAACAGAAAAACAAAGCGAAAATCTGATGCTTGTTAAATCATATATTAGAGAGATTTAATAGTTCAGCAGCATGGAGGTTTGCTGTTTGGGGTTACACGCAAACAGTACCGGAGAGGCTAGCAATACAGGCAGTCCCCGAGTTACGCGGATCTGACTTATGTCGGATCCGCACTTACGAACGGGGCTCTCTCGCCCCGGAGCTCGCAGGTAGCGAGACCGCCCAGAGCGCAGCGGTCCCGCCACCTCGACCTCCGGGGCAAGAAAAGCTGCTCCGGGTGCCCCTGGTCTGCTGGGGACCATCTCCAGCAGACCAGGGACACCTGGAGCAAAGCCGGGAAGAGCTCCTTTGCTCAGCTGACACATGAAAACTACAAATACTAGACATTTGAGAGAAAAATAGGGATACAACTTTTAATTCCATTGTCATACAAGGGATTGGTGGAGCTTTTTTCAAGCAACTATAATGGAATTTGACAGATCTTCCTTAAATAACAAAGATTTTCCCTTCTGCAGTTGGGAGGGCCAGAATTCAAAGAGAGACTGCCTTTAAACAATGAAATATAAGAAAAACATTCAGTATAATCAAATTTAAATTGGAGCTGAGCTGTTTTGCAAATTGTGGACCAAACTGAAGAACTGAGGGTGGGGGTGGTTTGAGTTTATTCATTTAATTTTCAGGGATTTTTTCCTCTCTTTTTTTTAGCAATTTGAGTTTTATGTAAAATTCCAAAAAATCTGGGGTTTTCAGGACTCTCTTTTTATTATATTTATATATTATGCACATTACTGACAACAGTAGTATATACTGTAAAAAGGATAATCTCTTTTAAATGTACCCAACTGTGCTTTACCACAGTTCTGTTTCAAACAGCGCTATGTTAAAACATACTAGAGAACTTTTATTGTACACCAGTAGTGTCTCAATACCCAATTACAAAATGTTAGTATACTTCAGAATTCACACTGTGTAGTATGCATTACTGCTCAATCTAGACAAGTTCTTTGAAACAATCTTGGGCAGGAAAGCCCAAATAACTATTTCCAGTGTATTTTCCAGTAGTTTAATGGATAAACACATTTTTTTAATTGAAAATATTTTACTGGCATTTCTCAGTTAAAACCCTAAATGAGAAGTCCTGTGTATAACTCATTTTGAAGTATATTTGTTTTCACACAAAATACAAATTCAGCTATCACCAGTGAATGCGGTGTATTTTCAACTGATCTTACCTCTCCATCTTCAGTGAAGACAATTTTTGTGTTGACTTTAAATTTCCTCTTCAATACTTTTTTTGCTTCTTTAATTTTAGTTGTTTTCTTGTTCAACTTTGAATTGGAGGTATCCTGTATTTTTAAAAAAGCAAATGGGAAAACACATGCTTACTTTTTGTCAGAAAAAATACCCTTGGATTTTAAACTTTAACTTCTGTTTATGGTATTAAGTAAAAAGCTATTTGCCAAAATATATACACAAGAGGTGAGTTTTAGAGTAGGATGCCTAATAACACCCAGGCTAAGATACTTTGCTTAGATGCAACTTGCTAGAATAAGGTCATATAATAAAACAAGTATTGTTATTGAGTGTTCTAAATAACTTGCATCCTACTGGCACCAGACAACCTTGACCTTCCAAGTTGTACTCACTTAAGGGTGTTGAGAGACAGACTCCCTTCCATTGTCCAAATATGGCAACAGCCTATGCACACTCAAGCTACAGATTTAGATATCACTGGCTAAAGTCACTGGCTTCCCTTGTCAGTCTGACATTGGCTGGGGTGCCATGCAGCGCCTGAGTAACTTTTTTGCCCCTTTTCTGGAAGGAAAGCTGTCAACAACTGCTGCTTCTACAGCTAAGGCCTTATATAGGCTGGTACTATGAAGACCTTGGTCTTAGTCTCAACTCCCTCTACTTCTGCAGCATTCACCACAGATCTGCTTAAGCCCACTTTGCAGCAATTCAGCTTTCTGAGGGAAAAAGCAGATGAAATGATGCTGGATGGCATCCCCAGTCATATGTGGCAAGTAGCTATCAAGGAACTTTCTAACTCCACAACACACCTCTTCTGCATTCCAACTAGCTTAAGTACATGATAATGCATGGGAGTGTTCAGATGAGAGAAAGGGTTTGGAGATTTAGTGTTAAACAGCATTTAAGTCTGTAGTTCCTACGTTCCATGTTAGATTCACCCCATTTAACAGAAAGTTTGCTCAGTGCAACAGAAAATTCCAAGGAGACCGGTACAATGAAAACCAGGGCAGAAACAGTAAAATCCATACATACATCACTACAGGTTTTCCCCATAACTACCACAGAATGAGCCAAATTATCAAAAAAAAAAAAACACAATACAATCAGCCAACTGCTGACATGCTATGTCCATGTTTTCTGCTTGTTATGTTTGAGATTTATAAACTGATAAAACAACTACTGAAAAAGTTGTTGGAAGAAAGGGAAGCCATAGGTTTTGGTCAACACGTAGAGAACAGCTGGCACTTTTAGAATCTGAAGTAGTTTGGCCCATGAAATAAGCACATTATCAGAGATTTCCGATAAAATGATCAGTGAAGCGGTTAATGTTGACTATAAAGAAAATATTACGGTTTCAATTTCACAGGTAAACTGTTCCTATCCATTGGCAAGAACTACATGGTCATAGAATCACAGAGGACGTGGGGTCCAGATCTCAACAATTCAATGGCGTTTTTAAATACAAAACATACAGTATACTATTCAGTATCCACACAGCAGAGTCTTCCAGAAGGTATTGTCTGCAACTGCCAGCGGAATAGGCATCTTATGGCAAAATGGATCACAAAAACTTAAGAAGTATACATATATCATCCCTGAAAACCTAGTATCCTGAAAGACACCACTATCATTCCAACAAGAACTGTCTTTGAATGAGTATCAAACACTTGACAAAAGAAAAGGGGTTTCATAAATCTGAAGGAAACCATTAGGATAACCTGAAAATTTTAGTTATTATTGCACATACTGTACAACATTAACTATAAAGGGAAACACAAAAATTCACTGGAAGAAGCACATCTTCATGGTTGTTACTCTAATGCACCAAAAATTGCCAACCTTAGCAAAAGTGGAGGGAAAATGGTTTATGACAGGCTAACGTACTGTATTATCAAATGGCAACCACCTGTATTATGACAACCACAGATGCACTTCCCTAAAGAGAAATGTGTGGAAAAGCTGTGCTGTCACCTATTTTTGTTACGTTATATAGCAGGGGTGTCCAAACTTTTTTCAAAGAGGGCCAGATTTGAAGAAGTGAACATGCGTGAGGGCCGTCCCCGCACTCTGCGGGTGGGGGCGGGGCACGCCGGCCTCACGGTGGCCTGGGGGCAGGGCGAACCCGCAGCCGAGCGGGGGAGCAGGGCTGCGAACATGCCCTACAGGGCAGGCTCTAGGACCGCAGAGGCCATGGGCGGCGGCGGTGGCGGCGCGGCCGGAAGCGGCGCGCTGGGCGCGCCAGTTCAAAAGAGTGCCAGGGAGCCAGGAGAGGGGGAGGAAGCGGGGGCCGTATTAAATCAGAACACGGGCCGCAATTGGCCCGCGGGCCGGACTTTGGACATGCCTGTTATATAGTGATTACTAACCAGCCGTCTACACTTTTCCCTAAAAACTTAGCGATGTGTGTTCTTTCCTCAAACTCATCACTTGTTCTGAAAGTGCAATGTGTTTGAGGCTCTGCACAAGCATAATTCTATGTAGGTGCTGGAACTAGTGGTGAAGCAGCATCTCCTGGCTTGCAGTGGTTTGCATCATACATAGGATTTACAGTTTTGTTCAACAGTGATCAGCATCTCCATGTTAATTCTGTTTATTCTTATCTTAAAGGGAAAGCCACAGGCTGGAACTCAAGTATTGGCCTATTTATATTCCATCACAAGACTATTTGGAGAGTTAAGAAGATTTGGCCTCACAGAGTGTCAAATGTAGCTGTTACACAGGACATTTCTGGGCTCTTTCCTAGTTATCCCTCAAGAGTTCTTTGCTGTTTGGTTTTCTGTCAGTGGGCAGAAGTTGCCACCCTTTTTTCTTCTGGTTTGTGACACTTAAAAGCAAATGTGAAAACACTTCTGAACTTATAATTCATACTATCAAAGCCACAAAGTGAGCCATTTTTGTTAAACTGATCTGAAGAATGTTAATTAGTTTGCTGCAGATTTCCTACTTCAGCTATACTTTTTCTTTCCTCTCCCTCAACTCCTCCATTACCCTGACTACTCCAAGGCTTTGCATTGCTTCTGAGGGGTGTAGGAAATACATTTCTGCATTGTAGTTCAAATGAACCACTCAACGTTCTATATTAATATGTCCGGCAAGGAACCTACTTGTTAAAAAAATCCTGAATTTTTGAAGGGTCTGTATTGTTACAAACAATTTTTTTTCAAAATACCAGTCAGCAATATCAAAATAATTCAAAATACAGTGATTACAGTGTTTTATAAGTTTGGTAAATAAAATATGCAGAATTTTGCAAAATTTTAAAATACTGTACACAGAACTTCTAATTTTTTGGCACAGAATTCCTCCAGGAGTAATTATTGTATTTTCTCTAGCTTCAAACAGATTGCAAACAAGCAAGAGGCTTAACCATTACCTATAAGCTGAGCTATTAAGTTCTTCCCCCTCTTAATAGGTTTACTTTTAAGTACAAGTACATATTTATATATGTCAAAATAGCATATTAAAAGCTATATTTGCTATAATAAAATTGATTCAAATGTTCTTTAAACACATTAAAAAGCAAGAAAGGCAATAAACTTAAACAACAAATAGTCTTGCAGCACCTTAGAGACTAACAAAAATATAGATAGTATCATGAGCTTTTGTGGGCACGACCTACTTCCTCAAATGAATGGAGTTAAGGGGACAAATAAATAGTAGAGAAAGAGAAGGGATGAGAAGGGAAAGGGAAGGAAAAAAATATTGTCAATTAGAGAGTCCATGGTAAATGAGGCCAATAGAGAGGGTTCTAAGTACCTCATGCTTGGTTTTTTTTAATGTCATTAGGGCGTGGAATGTAGCAGGCTATCCAGTTAAGGTCTTTGTTTAAACCTCTATTGCAGGTGTCAAACTTACAAATGCAATCAAGTTCTGCAGCTTCCCTCTCCAGCTGGCTTTTGAAATTGCCTTGTAATAATATTGATACCTTTAGATCCATTAGTGAGCACCCAGCCAAATTAAAATGTTCCCCAACAGGTTTTCTGTGGGTTACCATTTCAAATATCTGATTTGTGTCTACTGATCCTTTGTCTGATTTGTGTCTACTGATCCTTTGTCCAGTTTGGCCAAAATACATGGCAAAGGGGCATTGCTGGCACTTGATGGCATAGATCACATTGGTGAATATGCACTTGTATGAGCCTCTGATGTGGTGGCTTATGTAGTTAGATCCTCTGATTATTGATTGTATAGATATGTGGACAGAGTTGGCAATGGAGTTGATTGCAGTGGTGGGTTCCTGGGTGAGTATGATGGAGCTGTGCTGTGTGGTTGACAAATAATTTGTTTGAGCTTAGGGGGTTGTCTGTAGGTGAGTACTGGCCTGTTTCCCAAGGCCTGTGAGAGCAAGGGGTCATTTTCCAGGATAGGCTGTAGATTGTTAATAATGTGCTGGAGGGTTTAAGTTGTATAGGTGATGACCAGTGGTGTTCTGTTGTTCTCTTTGTTGGGCCTATCTTGAAGAAGCTGATGCCTGGGTACTCATCTGACTCTGTCAATCTGATTTTTTCACTTTTCCAGGTGGGACATTTCAGTTTTAAGAATGCTTGATAGAGACCCTGTAGGTGTTTGTCTCTGTCTGTGGGATTAGAGCAAATCTGGTTGTATCTTAGGGCCTGACTGTAAACAATTGATTGGGAAATGTGTCTTGGATGGAAGCTAGAGGTATGTAGGTAAGTGTAATGGTTGGTATGTTTCCAGTATAAGGTGATGGAAATGTGGCTGTCATGTAACTGTACTGTAGTGCCAAGGAAGTGGATCTCTTGTGTGGACTGGTCTAGGCTGAGGTTGATGGTGGAGTGGAAGTTGTTGAAATCCCTGTGGAATTCGTTAAGGGTCTCCTTCCCATGGGTCCATATAATGAAAATGTCATTGTAGCGTAAGTAGAGTAAAGGTGCCAGGGAGTGAGAGCTGAGGAAACATTGTTCGAGGTCAGCCATAAAGATGTTGGCATATTGTGGGGCCATGCAGGTGCCTATAAGATGTGCTGCTGACCTTAAGATATAAATTTTCCCAAATTGGAAATAGTTGTGGGTGAGGACAAAGTCACAGAGCACAGGTGTGCAGTGGCATCATCAGAAATAGTGTTCCTGACAGC